CGCATGGCTTTCTATTTTGAGCCAATAAATTTATTTGTATCTCTCAATTTTCAGAATAATGTGTTGTTTCCCTAACATTCTGTAAAGGAGATCATTAAGGCTTTTAAGTGTCATTATGCATAAATTTTATTACTTAGTGTTTAAATTTATAGCAGTAGTTGTTCTTTTTGATGTTCAAATTGTCTCATCTTGAATTACTATGATACCAGTTTAGATATTTTCTGGTATCCTTCTGAAAAGATCTATTGGTTTAGATAACATCTTTGTTTTTTGGTGTGATAAAATGTTCCAGATTTATCTTGTGCATTTTCTACCTCAGACCTGCAATCAGCCATTTCCTCAAGGTGCCTGCATTTATTTTATGGGAAATAGTATTTAGACCGCAATATTTTTTTCTTCCATTTTGAATGAATAATTTTTTGTTCATTTAAATATAGACTACGTTTAGATTTATAGAAAAGTTTGGAAGGTAAGACAGTGAGAATCTCTGTATGCCCTGCACCCAGTTTTCCCTGTTTAAGCAAATACTTAATTGTGGAAACATCCTTAGATTTACAAGGATAGAAAATTGTTCATGTACACAATATCTGACTTCTCAACAATTATCAACTCCAGTCTTTTTTCATTTTATGTCCAACCTGATACCCACAAATTAATTGAAAGATAATATATAGTATTATTTTTGTACATAAATATTCAGTACTTTGTGCTTATCTTTGTGTGCGCACATGTGTGTATTCTTGGTAAACATTCTGCCACAGAGCTACATTCCCTACCCTGGATAGAGATTGTCTTTACCAAGTACTTTGCTCAGCTCTTATATTCATAGATTAAATTGACTTGGGTACATTGAGAACTTTTATGTCTGCACTCACAGGAAACATTGATGTCCTAGTAATGGTTTATAATATTGTGTAGATTATTTTAATATTGGCCGCTGGAATAGGCATTACTAATAATGTGACTTGTCAGCTTCCCTTATAAGGAGGGAAGATTTATATTAAGGGTTTTGGTCTAAGGTCATTTGGGCTTGTGGCGAGTCAGACTGTAATGATGGTTAGTGTCTGTTGGAGAACTGCTAACTCCATGGTGGCAGGAAAGCAAAGAGAGAAAGGGATTAGGGATCTGGCATCTTCTTTACGGGCCTGTCCCCAGTGAGAGTTAACTTTCTTCCCCAAGTCCCCACCTACTAAAGATTCCATCATGTTCCTTTCCATTAGTGCTACTGGATGATGACCAAGCCTTTGACATGTGGCCTTTGGGGGACATTTTAAGGTCCGAACCGTAAATAACAAGCAGATTCCTCACTGTCACACTGTTTCATCAGGTTTTGCCTAAAAATTTGATTGGATGATTGGACTCTCCAAAAATTTGAATATAAATAATTTGCATATTTAAAAAATTTTGTGTTTAACATTTTTTATCTTTGTCTTCTAATATGTATTTGACCCTCTGATTTACATTATCTTGGATACTTTAGGAAACAATTCCATCTTTTCCTTGGAGTATTGGAGGCATTTATTCATGAAACTGTCTTGTGTGGGGGAAACGTTGATTGGAGCAGTAGTGGCAAAATAATATTACCTCTTTAATGAACTGGAATAATTTCTTTTTCGAGGAAATCACTTTGTGTCTATGTTATTAGTGAATAGTTGCATATACTAGTCTCAAAGAATTTACATAGTATTTGTGGGTTTTGTGCTCCTTTTTTTATTCTTCTATAGAGACTGTCTTTACCAAGTACTTTGCTCAGCTCTTATATCTTTTATTCTTCTTGTCTTTACCAAGTACTTTGCTCAGCTCTTATATTTTTTATTCTTCTTGGTAAAGACAATCTCTATAGAAGAATCTTTATTCTTCTATATTTTCTGGGGGGGAGGTCTGACTTTACAGACTGCATTTTGCTTTGTATGTAATATTTTTTGCTTCATCCTTTAATTGCCCTGCCTTTTTGGTTTATTTTGCTCTTTTTTTGTTTCTTGATTTAGCTGTTTAAAATGTTTATTGTATAATAATAGAAACATTTAGAGAAATGTTCTCCAAAGCTTTGGTTTATTTTATACATTTGAAACGTAGTATGTTCTTTATTGTTTGTCTTAGTAGTTGACTTTCAATTTTGATTATTTTGGTCTGTAATCATTGTGTTATGAAGAAGAGATTCATTTAACATTCCTCAAATAGGAGACTTAATTATAGGGAATATATGATTTTACAAGGAGTATAAATCGGAATTGGGGTACCCCCAGACCTCTGAAATGGGTATTTTTTAGGAGTTGGATTATCTTTATGACTTGCCACATAGTTTCTCTTTATTTATTTGTGTGTTTTTGAGATGGAATCTTCTCTTTCTGTGTTTCCTAAGCTGGTCTTGAACTTCTTGGATTCAAGTAATTCTCCTACCTCAGCAGCTGGGACTACAGGCATGTGTGCCACTAAGCTTAGCCACATAGTTTCTCTTCTGACATTAGCATAGTTTTGACATATTATGTTAATATTGTGGATTTTTAAAATTCCTAACAAATGAAGGTATAGATGGTTTTCATATTATAGCTAGAATACACAATATTAATAATATGATTTGTTGATTTTCCTCAATAGCTCCTGTCCCCCTATATTATACATCATAGCAGGTAAAGGAACCTGCAGAATTTGTATTGATTTTATTTTGTTATTTCCACATCATGCTGAAAAATGGAAGACTAGGCTCAAGGAAATATTTTTATTTATTGGTGATTACATGTCTCTATCATACTTTTTTGCTTTTCTAAATGTACCTTCATCTTTGTTCATGAATGTAATGTTTCAGTTATATAATACTCCAACTGTAAAATTTTTAAAATTTAGTGTTTATGTAAATTGGATAAACAGGTTGATTTTAAGTCCTAGTCTTAATTTATATATTTTAGAATTGTTTGTTTGTTTGTTTGTTTATTGTGGTGCCAATAAGGGAACCCAGGGCCTTGAGCATCCTAGGCAACCACTCTACTACTAAGTCATACTCCCAGATCCATATACTTTTAAAATGTTAGTCATACTAAACGCATTTATAGAGAAATTACTCTGTAAAGTACATAGTAGTTGTAACTGAAGTACTGGAAGGCAGACTTTGGGAGTCTTTAGGAGGCAGCAGCATGGGGTGGGGAGTAACCTGCTTTTAAAAATAACGTTAGACTATAGATACAAATATCAGAGGTTGATAGAGAAAAATATCTGAAATCATTCTTGCTAGTATAGTATTCACAGCAAACTAATCTTATCTCAGTGAGAGCTCTGATGATGCTCCCTACTCAAACCATAATCTCTCACTGAGGGAAAGATCTGAAACCAGGTCTGAAAACTTGTAAGTTTAAAAAAAAAATAGTTATCAATTTAAAAAGAATTGGGATTCAGTGAAGTTTTCCAGGAAAACATGTCTATGGAACTTTATTTAACTGGCACCTTGGAGATTTAAGTGCTAAATAAAGGAGAAAGATTTTTTTGTCATTGTGTTATTATTTATTTATTTATTTATTTTATTTTATTTTATTTTTTAAGACGGAGTCTTGCTATATAGTTCAGTCTGGCCTTGAACTCACTATGTAGTTCAGGCTGGCCTCAGCCATCCTCCAAAATGCTGGGATTATGGGCCTGTGCTGTCATGCCTGGCATTTTGTTTTTAAACACACAACAGTGACCGGAGGGATGAAATGACTTTCCCAGGGTCCTAAATCTTAGTGCTAGGCCTTCACCTAGAACTATTGATTACTGTTCTGAAGTTTTCCAAAGGGGCCAGTTGACTCTCACAACCAATATCTTTGACTGTGTCCTGGCAGTACTTTATCTTTGAGTTATTCTGCAGTGTGGACCGTCCCATCTGCTCTTCAGAATCCAGTGATTCTGTTTTTATAGTTCTAAGCCTTTTATCTCTGCGTTCCTGTTTGCTTCTGTACACTAGTCGCCCTTTATTCAAGGATGTAAGGTACGTTCTCCCAGGCTTAGGAGTGTGCTTTACTGACTAGGAATGGTGGGGAAACCCCAAACTGTAGTGACTCAAGGGTCTCCTGAGGGTAGGTTTCTGAAAGGACCAGCTCCATCTTTCTACAAGTTCTCACCAGGGGTGGAGCATGTCTGGTATAGGTAAACCTGATCCTTGTGGTTTACCTCTAAATTCAAAATCGACTGAAAATCAAGTTGCTGTGTAATTCATGAGGTGGCAAATGGTTTCATGTATTTATTAGGTTTTGTTGAACAAATAGAAGGTGAGGTGTGAAACAGGCACTGCTTATACTTTTACACCTAAGAGCAAGTTACTAGGGTGGTGTGGAGGGTAATCTTGCCCTTTAAGGTTTATAGCTGCCCATTCCAGTGCTTTTTGGAAGATTTTTTTCTCATTTGAATACCAGCTGGTAATTTTAACCATTTTACAATTTTGACTGCCAAAATTGATAAATGATATTTAGCTTTAACGTTTTAAAATGTCTTTGTTTTCATATTTTTTGTGTTCCTTAATGTTTGAGTTGGTGTAAAAAATTGTAGATTACAATTCTGACTTGATTTGGTAGATTTATTAAGCCCCAGAAATTACACATGTAACATTGCAGAAATCTAATTTTTTGCTTGGTTAATTGGTAATTTTGTAATAAACATTATATTGTGTGCTGAGAGGGTTTAGTTTTGAAAAGGAACCAATTCTAAAATTGGTTGGAGTTTGTAGTCGTAAAACAGTATTTACATGAGAGCATAATCACATAATGGAGTGGTTGATAGAAATCAGTAGAGTGTATAGATTACCAAAATTAAGAGTACAGTAAAATATAATTTAACAGCATAACTTGAATATAGTTTTACGGGGGTTGACTTTATGCATATTAACAGTTCTGAGTGGCATGTGAAAATGCTGGTTACTAGTACATATGCCATTTAGTAAATTACAGGAAAAATCAGGTTTTACAGTATATTTTAGAGAGGATTTTTACATGCTTGAAGATGACTATTGGCTTTTTCCCCCCCTTTCCTTTTAGAATATGGTTTCTAGTTTTAGAGTTTCTGAACTACAAGTATTACTAGGCTTTGCTGGACGGAATAAAAGTGGACGCAAGCATGACCTCCTGATGAGGGCCCTGCATTTATTGAAGAGCGGCTGCAGCCCTGTGGTTCAGATTAAAATCCGAGAATTATATAGACGCCGATATCCACGGACTCTTGAAGGGCTCTCTTCTGATTTATCTACAATCAAATCATCAGTTTTCAGTTTGGATGGTAGCTCATCACCTGTAGAACCGGATTTGGCTGTGGCTGGAATCCACGCATTGCCTTCCACTTCAGTAACATCTCACTCACCGTCCTCTCCTGTTGGTTCTGTGCTACTTCAAGATACTAAGCCCACTTTTGAGATGCAGCAACCATCTCCTCCAATTCCTCCTGTCCATCCTGATGTGCAGTTAAAAAACCTGCCTTTTTATGATGTCCTTGATGTTCTCATCAAGCCCACAAGTTTAGGTAAGTGTTAGAAAAAAATCATTTGTTCCTGGACAAGAGAGTGAGTACAATGAGGACTTTAGTGATTGATTAGTACTATAAACTTGAGGCATTTATGCCAAATTTTTAATGTACAGGAAAAATGGTAACTATAACTGAAATCTAATATGAAACAGTTATTTCGTATTTGAGTGATTTTTCCATTTTTTGTGGTAAAATACATAGTCTAATATCTTAACCATTTTAATATGTATTTTAATGCTATTAAGTATATTCATGATCTTATGCAGCTGTCACTCACCACCATCCATATCCAGAATTCTTTTTTTTTTTTCCTTTATATCTTTTTTTTTTGTGCTGGGAATTGAACTTACAACCTCACGCTTGCCGGGGAGGCGCTGTGCTGCTGAGCTAGATCCCTGGCCCTCTTTACATCTTTTATGATTTTTTCCCTTTATATCTTTTATGATTTTTTAAATTAGATTTTGTTGGTACATTTTAGATACACAATAATAATCACATTCATCATAGAGAATTTGTACTTGTACGTGACATAACCTGTTTTTTCCTCATTCCTGTACCCTCCCTCAGCCTCTCTTCCCCTCTTCCGTTCCTCCTCTCCCCATTTACAAAGCTTTGTTTCCATATTTTTCTTCTTTTCTCTTTTTTTTTTTTTTTTTTTTTTTACTTTTCCCTTCTTTCCTTGTCCCCTCCCTCTCTCTTGCTCTCCTCCACATTTGAATATTTTCTTCCTGTTTTACAATATCTGTTATACATTTTGGTTCTTATTTATACTTTTGGTTTCTCACACCAGAGAAGCAATGCAATAGTCACACATGTGTGTCCAGTTTATTTTACTTAAGAGTATGGACTTAAGGTGTATCCATTTTCCTAGAAATGTCTTGAGTACATCCTTTATGGCACAGTAGTACTCCAGTGTATAGAAAAGCCACATCTTCTTTATCCATTTACCTGTCAGTGGGCACTTGAGTTGTTTCCAGAATTTGGCTGTTATATACTGTGCCACTATAAACATAGGTGTGCATATGTCAGTATGATATGATGCTTTTAATTCTTTTGAGAAGATACCCAGGAGGGGAATGTCTGGGTCAAATGGAACCTGTAGTCCTAGTTTTTTGAGAAATCTCCACACTGATTTTCCACAGTAGTTGCGCCAGTCTGCACTCTCACCAATAGTGGAGAAGGATTCCTTTTTTCCCATGGCCCCACCAGCATTTGTTATTGGTTGACTTCTTGATAATAGCCATTTTTTCTGGGGTGAGATGGAATCTTAGTGTTGTTTTAATTTGCATCTTTTGAATGACCCCCTGATGTTGAACATTTTTTCTTATATTCATTTGCTGTTCGTATTTTTTCATCTGAGAAGTGTATATTCATCTCAGATGTCCATTTTTGGATTGGGTCTTTAAATTTGGGAGGTCTGAGGTTTTTGTTTTTTGTTTTTTGTGTTTTTTTTTGAGTTCTTTATATGTTCTCCATAGTAGTCATCTGTCTGAGGAACAGCTGACAAAACTTTTTCCCATGTTGTAGATTGTCTCTTTGCTGGTAGTTTCTCTTTCTGTGCAAAAATAAAATGAGATCCCCCATGTTGATTTTTTTGTGATAGTTCCCGTGTGATTGGGGTTTTAGTCAAAAAATCTTTGCCTATACCAATGTGTTCTAAAGTTTTACCTATTCTATCTTCCAGAAGATTTCTTTCTTTTTATGTTTAGATCTTTGATCTATTTTGAATTTACTTTAGTGCATGGTGAAAGATAAGGCTCCAATTTTAATCTTTGGCATGTGCAGAGCCAGTTTATCCAGCACCATTTATTGAAGAGGCTGTACTTCTTCCATTGAGTATGTTTGGCAACTTAGTCAAAGATAAGGTGGCTGAGTATGTCTGGAGTTGTTTCTGCATCTTCTAATCATTCTGTTGATCTTTGGGTCTGTTTCTTTGCCAGTACCATGCTGTTTTTGTCATAGTAGCTTTATAGCTTAATTTCAAGTTAGGGATTGTGATGCCCCCTGCATTGCCTTTGTTGCCCAGAATTGCCTTTGCTATCCTAGCTCTCTTTTGATTCCAAATTAATTTTAGGATTATTTTCTCTAGTTTTGTAATATATGCTGTTGGATCTTGATGGGAATTGCATGAAATCTGTATAACAGTTTTGGAAGCATGGCCATTTTCATTATATTGGTTCTCTCTACCCAAGAACAAGGCTGTTTTTCCATTTTTTTCTGATATCCTCTTCAGTCTCCTTTTGCAGAGTACTGTAGTTTTCAACGTAGAGGTCTTTTACATCCTTAGTTAGATTGATTCTTAGATTATTTCATTCTTTTGAAGGCTATTGTGGATGGTATTGTTTCCCTAATTTCTCTCTCAGTGAGTTTTGGTATTTGTGTACAGGAGGCCAATTGATTTTT